CAGCTTTCCCCTTGATATATTTTTTACCCACTGACTCGTCCCCCATTCCATTTTTCCCTTCTTCCACCTCTCCCTCCCTACTCCCCTGTTTATTTTGGTTCTGGACATCCAACACTCTTGTCATCAGAAGAAGTGGGCTGTGCCCAAGAACACTCATGATACCATCTACATTTTTTTTAGTCTTTGAAGTGCTACCACACTATTTGTTGTTTTAAAAAACACAAAACAAAAAAACCCCCAATGAATAATCTAGCAGCACCTTAAAGGCTAACAAAACATGTAGATGGTATGAGCTTCCATGGGTACGACCTACTTCTTCAGGAGGCAGTGGCTAGTACCAGATGTTTCAAAAGTAGGTGCAAGAAGCCCTGTAGAGAAGTGACTCTCAATCTTTTCAGACTACGGTATCCCTTTCAGGAATCTGATTTGTCCTGCAAACCCCATCGGAGGAAGAGGAACAGGAACACTGTACATTAGGCATCTGAAAGGTTAACCAGTTAGCACAGGGGTCATCAACCTACGGCTTGCAAGCCAAATATGGCTCCCGAGATACCTAAATATGGCTCTGACTGGCTGAGCACCTGGGGGGCAGGGCACAAGGAATTGTACTTCCAACCAACTCTGAAAAGCAGCATTCACCTTCCTTGTGCCTTGAGGGTAAGCCACTGCTGGGGTTGTGGCATGGGATCAGGATAGGACCAGAACCGTGTGGTGGGCAGGTGGTGTCAAGGCCCATGGGGGGAGGGGGCGGGACTGGGGTACACCCTAGCCCTGAGCCATTGGCAGGCAGCTGCCAGTGTTTTTAAAAACAGCTGTTCCAGGTTCCAGCAGAAGTGGCATGCTGCTCCAGGCACTCTAAGGAGTGGAGACAGGAGGGCGCTGCTTCAGCCCTCATCCCCATGGGAAGCGGGGAGGAGGCAGCAGTGTGCTAGTAGCTGGGTTTGGCCTTCAGCTAGCAGCCGAGCCGTGTTTCTTCCCTAGGAGGCACAAGGGCCAGCACTAGGGTCACCCTCCTCCCCACCTTCCCTTGTCTCCCAGCCCCTGCCTGTCTCTTCACCCCTTCCCGGGGCCCATCTTCTCTCTCTCTCTCATGGTCCATCCTTCCCATCATCCTGGTCTCTGCCCTGCCAGCCATGACCCGCTCCCCTCCAATCTCTCACTAGAGTTGGCAGCTTGGTGGTAGCAGCCTCAGTCTTTCTGCCCTGTCTCCAGCACCTCGCACCGGAGAGCTACAGCTCAGTGCCTGGAGCCTGTTCTGAGTGGTGAATGGCTCCCCAGACTCCATGAATCTACCTGCCCTGAGGGGGAGTGGTGGCTGCCGGCAAGTTCCGGCCTTCCAGCGCAGTCTTTTGTTCTCCTAGCCAGCAGTTTGTGCGCCCTATGCTCCAGGACTGGAACCTGGCCGCAGTGCAGCTGCTCCTGGGCTGGGATCCAGTTCCAGCCTATGGGGCAGCCACCCACCAGATGGTCCTGCCCTGAAACCAGAAAGCTAGAGGTTGGCTGAGGGGTGCAGGTGTCAGGAAGGCAGGTGATGAGGGAAGGGGGAGAACAAAGAGGCTTATGCTGAGGGCAGTGGAGGGGCCAGGACAGGAGAAGAAAGGGGAAGGCACCAAGAGGCAGGGTGGAGGGAAGAGAAATGACAGGGGGTCAAGAAGAGACAATGAGGGGAAAGAGCAGGAGAAGCAGGGGGATGTGAAGGTGTCAGTGGGCGTAGGAGGAGACAGAGTAATACTGGGAGAGGAAAGGGAAGGGCCAGAGGGGAGGGACAATGGGAGCAAGAGGAAGGAAGAGGAATGGGGAGGAGTGGATGTCAGGAGAAGAGGGGGTGAAAGGAGGGGTGTGTGAAAGCAGGCTCTTTG